GCCTCCTTGGCATGATGTATACTCTCTCGTACCTGAGAGTGAAATAAATGATCTCTTCAATGGCACTCAGCTCCAGATCTACTGGCTTTACCATGTCTAAATAATAATAGGACGTATTAAAACTACATTATCCAACAATCTTGGACTTGGATGTAATAACTCGATGAGGCTTAAGATTAGTTCCCCTTAGGCAGTATGTGAATAATTTCAATAAAGGCATGGACACCTTTTCCTTCTTTTTAAAAGTAAACTCTACATACAATGTGGGGCTTGAACTCATGACTGTGAGATCAAGAGTCACATGCTCTACTGACTGAGCCAGCCAGGCACCCCAAGGTATGAACACCTTTTAAGTGTATGTAGGAACATTGGGCAATCAAAGTGGTGGACTGTAGCAAAAATTGTTGGTTTTCCACTGAACGTCCGTTACTCTCTCTTCAGGCAAAACACTAGTTTTATTCAGGGATTCATCCCCCTCTTCTGTGACTCAAGGGATCATGACCTTTTTCCTCTTCCAGGATTAAAGTCTATTTCATCTGAGCAGTCCCAGTGGTCCCTTTCCCTTTGCCAGTGAATGATTTAGGCTTGAGCAAGGATTCCAGGCATGGACAATAGGACATGAGCATAGATATTCTGGGGGGAGGGAGGGTTCTAGAAAGTTTCCCCCTTACTGTAAAGAGGACACTGGAAGAAGTGGCCCTCTCTGTTGCTGGACATTTGCTGTGCTGAGATGTAGCTGGACCTGCAGTTGTCATTTTACTCTTAGAAAAAGCAAACTTAAGGAGAAGCCATGGCAAGAAGGAGAAACAAAAACTCACCAGAAAATGAAATCAGAACAATAATGTATCATGGTGGTGGCTCACTCTTCCTTTGGACTTCTTGTTCTGTGACATAGTAAATTTTCTTATCATTTAAACGAGTTTGAGTCAGGGTATTTTGTTACTTGAAGCCCAGAGTGTCCCTGCTTTTACTAAGAGTTATTGATATGAAGCAAAGTGTTCCAATAGATAACAAGAGACTCCCAAGGGTCCAAGAGACTCTAAAACTTGTAAATGTGACCTCTCAACACATGACTTGCTATAATTTGATTGCTTATATAAAGCATGATTGTTAAAGGAAATTTTATTTGTTCACATATATCATAAAATGTTTATTATAGGAAATTCTGTTTGCTCACTTAAGCTGCATATGAACTCACTGGCCTTTTGGTGATTAATCCTCCATTACAAATCCTGGTTGAATGTGCTTATCAAAGAGAATCTTCACTAGCTTCCACAGCTGTCCGGAATAAAGCTATCTCTGATAGCAGATCCAAACATTGTACAAAGCTTTGTTCTTGCACAATTTGCAAATTTCTCATATTTGAACCACATCGACTTCTTTGACACCAATGGCTGACTCATCAGGTCACCACTGAAACATTCGTGTGCTGCTCTCTATATGTGGATTTCTGATCCTGGGGCCCACTGATAAAAACCTACTTGCTCCAGATTCTTCTTCTATGCTTAGTCTTTTATTTAACTAGTTCATGGCCTAGGTAAGTCAGGGCTACTCCTGACAATCCCTGAGGCAGTCTGTTTCACACATTTATGGGATGCCTCACTGTTCTCCCCTGACAAAGTACACACAATCCCTACCTGCAGCCCCCTTTATCTCTAGTATCTACCCACTGCTCTTAAAATCCATCCAGGCTTAAATTACAGAGACAGCCATCCATCAAATTCAAAATAATTTTTCACCATATTGCAAAGGCAAACACATAGGGTATCCTCAGCTTTGATTTGGGCGATAGTAAACTTGAAGAAAGAAGGTTCATTTTAGTTGTTAAAAATGTTTTCATTAACTTTCATAAATCCATGAAAAAGGAGTAAAGCCTATTTTATATTAATAGCTTCATTATCAGAATCTGTAGCATCAAAATACAAAATCAAATTTCATCCAGATTATATGAGTTGGATAAAAATATATAAACCAAAATATCTAAATATAAATTTAAATTGTGGTTATATGAAGGTGTACATCATTCCAACTCTTGGAGGACAGGTATCAATGATGTTTGTTAATAAAGGAACACTATCCATGTAAGTGTGAGAATATTTAGCATCCATTTTATATTATAAAGTCTAGAGATTAAAGAAAAGATTTCAGGCGCTGTCCTTTACAAATCAGGAGCTGAAGGGGTGCCTGGGTGGCTCAGTCAGTTAAGTGGCCAACTTCACCTGGGGTCATGATCTCAGGGTTTGTGAGTTCAAGCCCCTCATTTGACTGTCAGCCATGGCCTGCTTCAGATCCTCGGTCCCCTTCTCTCTCTGCTCCTCCCCCACTTGTTCTCTCCCTCTCTCTGTCTCCTCTCTCGCTCAAAATAAATAAATAAATAAATAAATAAATAAATAAACCTCAGGAGCTGAAAAGCAATGAAAAAGAATAAATTCCTCTTACATCCAGCAACACTGATGCACTTCATAAATATTATATTGAGGAAAATGAAAGCAAATGCAAAAGAGTACACACTGTATGATTCCATTTACATGATGTTCAAGAAGGTGGGCAGATCTTGGGAAAGGAAGTGAGAGAAATTTATGAGATGCTGGAAGCATTCTTAATCTTAATCTAGAAGATGGCTAAGTGGGTGTATGCATCAATCTATGCAGGTAAAATATAATTAATGCTGCCACATTAATGCACTTTACATGCTTTACAAATATATGTGTGCCAAATCAACCAATAAATTACTCATCAGTCAGCCTTTAGGTAAGTTTTGATTAAATATTAATAGAACTTATAAATCTATAATTAAATATTAATAGAAATGAAGCTTCATGACAGAGAAAGCCATGTCTGTTTCACTTAGCACTGGATACCTTCTCACTGGAGAATTTAACTGAGCCTTTCAGCCAGCTGACAGTGATAAGATGAAGGATGGGATACCATATACCCGGAAATGAAGGAGCATGAATGGAGCCTAACAAGTATCTCTACCCTGTCCTTCGGTGATGGTAGGGAGTAACACCTTGTTTGAAATAGGGCACATTTCACACAATATATAGAGGTTTTAGTCTTTGAGCAACTGGAATGAGCATGTCTTCATAAGGACCTACTTGTAAAAATGGCCTTTGGTCAGCCCACTTTGGGTAAAAGGCAGAACCCAGGTTTCTGCCCAAGAGAAAGCTACTTTGTAGAACAGTACAAAACACAGTTGGAGCTGACTGGGGACTTCTGGGGGAGAATTGTCAAGAAGAACCCCTCAAGCTGGCATTGGGTGTAGGAGGGACTATGGAGAGAAGTAAAATGTTGATGAGATTTTAGTAAGTTGTTGACTGAATGATCTGTATAGTAAAACCTCTTCACCATTTCCTCTTTGCAATCTCTGGTAAAATTTATGTTTTTTATTAATTCATAGAGCATATTTCTTTGTAGGAGAAAGAGCATAAATGCAGGATCCTACCTTTAAGGTTAACACTGATTGAAACTGTTTTAGTCCATTTGGGTTGCTATAACAGAATACCATAAATTGGGTGGCTTACAAACAACAGAAATTTATTTCTCACAGTTCAGGAAGCTGGGAAGTCCAAGATCAAGGCACCAGCACATTCAGTGTCTGGTGAAAGCCTGCTTCCTGGTTCATGGGAGGCCATTTCTTGTTGTGTCTTCATAAGGCTGCAGGGGCAAGGGAGCTCTCTGAATCTCTTTTATAAGGCACCAATCCCATTCCTGAGTGCTCCACCCTCTGACCTAATTACCTTTCAAAGACCCGCCTCCAAATACCATCACACTGGGGATTAGGTTTCAACATATGATTTTTTGGAGGACACAAACATTCAGTCTATAACAGAAGCCCAGACTACACGTGGAGATGGCCAATATCGTTAGACTTCATTTAGTCACTCTGGGTCTGCCATGTTCTTAATCCCTGAGGGATGAAAGTCACCAGGAGGACACAAAGAAAAAGGGAAAATCTGCAAATCAAATAGGGTAGGCTTCTGGAAGCTCTTGGCCAGCCAGCTGGGCCCTGTTGGCCTGGACTGAAGGTGGCCCAAGTAGTCTAGGAAGGTCTCCTATGTCGTGGAAATACAGATGGGTATGTATGAACCTGCCAAGCAGGAAGTAAGAAACAGGGTTTCTTCCCAGCGTTTCTTTCTTCTTCATTACTGATGGGATCTTGAGAATAAACCATAGCTTTCAAGTCAGACTTTCTAAATCCTCGTTCCTCCCTGTATTTATTTGCTAGTCTCTATTCTTTAACAAGTCTTTTTTTTTTTTTTCTTTTCTTTTTGCCCAATTGTTCCAGTCGGGTCTTAGCTGGGCTAATTCAAAGAGGAGGTCATGTTTCAAAGTTGATCCAGAAAGATGACAAGGCAAGATCACCTCCTTGTGGCTGAGTGGCAGGATAACAAGAAATGTTAGCTCCTGGATCTACCCTAGGGGAGAAACGCCAGGAAATGATTTGTGGGAAGTGTAAGCTTTGGTGTTCTACTATCATTAAGGTAGATGGCAGTTTCCTTAGATCCTTAGATCATTTCTTTAGTGCCACATAAAGTCTGAAGTGCAGAAAAAATATATAGTTTTTAAAGTCATGAGTATATTTTAGCATGAAGACTATTATATGCAATTATTTTATTTTGTCACTAAAGCCATCAGATATATATTACAAGTGATTTTTTTTTTTTTGGCTTGAGTGTATGACAGGAAAACAATGTTTAAATCAATGAGTCAAAACATCTCTACTAGCATTGTTTATCTAGAAGAATTGCATAGACAAAAGTAAGAGCAAGGACATTTAGTCTATGCTTTCAAATGGGACTTGGTCATTTAAACTTAAATCTGTTTACTGGCAGATTTTTTTTTTCATCATGACTATAGAGATTATATGTTATTTAAAAGAAACAATGAAGTTAATTGTTTCTTCCTTTTCAGTGTTTGCTTTAAGAGAAAAATCCTGAAATTGGTAGGGATTTCAGGTTGGTAGGGATGTCAGGAAATCATGAAATGTAAGAGAAAACTTAGCAGTCAGGGTGGCTTAACTCATGGTAATCAGCATATGTACAATTATAATTTGCATTCCAGTTACTGAGGCTGAGAAACCCTTGCTCTGGCTGAACATATGGTGAGTAGAAGATCTCTTTTTCTAAGAAATAAGATGGCGAGAGTCTTTGGAGAATAGCTTCACTGAACTGGTAAGTTAGTTTTCTCCGGATTTTCGTGATTTCCCCAGTTCTTCCATAATTCCTCAGTGCTCTGGCCATTTTCTGGTAAGTCATGGTCTTCCGGTTACCTTTTCTTTTCCCCCAAAGTTGGGCAAGTTTTTCTTTGTTTTTTGACATAAACTGAAAGATGCCTTTGGTTTTATCTACCCACTGAATACAAGATGCCATCTCAGGATTACACAGGGATTCATGAAGGTATTCGAACAGTCGAAGCTTCTTCCTGCCTAAAATGGAGAACAAATATCATACTTCACCATGGCTATGCACAAAGAACATACTCAGGAAAGGTTTGTTGAGTGACTATAAAATTCAAAGCCGCACTGAGTCTTGAAAGTCAAAGGTCTGTTTGGCTTATTGAAGTTTTAATTCGACCTTTCTTTGTTAGAGATATTGTAAAAAAATTTTATATTGTCCATTACTAGAAAAGGGAAGGCTGGAACTTGACCCAAGTCTCTCATCTGTCATGTGGTCTTTCTTCAGCTAAATCTTGACTACTGGTTTTATGTCATATGCTAAACTTCCTATAGAACAACAAAACTGAGCAAAATTTAGTGGTTTTAAAGAGAAGCCTCAGAAGCCCTTTTCAGAAAGCAAATCATTTGAAAGGGCTTTATTCAAATAAGGTAAGTCAAATGAGGTAAGGAATGTGAATGTATTTTGTAAAATGCAAAACAATATTCAAATATAAAGTAACATTAGTGACATTAATAACAAAGACTTAGTTAAAAAAAAAAAAAAACTCTGGGTGTGCACAGTTGCTTGAAAAATAAAGAAAATACCAAAATATCTTTATGACATTTGGACATCATTTATGAGCAATGACAATGGGCATCGTGATGTTTTTCGTTGCTGTAAAATAACATGGTACAATGAGAGTTTTTGTCCCTTTAGGAACACAGCCCTTCATATTTTAGAATTTCTAGATAGGAAACTTTAGGAAGATTTGTCGTTGTGATTTTTGTTCTGTTGATTGTATCTCTTTGGTCTATGAGAGAACCAAGGGGACAGCCCATGTTGTGGCTTCTGAGTTGGCCTGTAAATACCATGCTTCACCAGATCTGTCAGTAGCTGAGATAGCTGTGGTCAAATTTCCTTTTGCTCTAGATAGAGTTGAATAGTGGATACCCAAACTGCTTTGAACAGTCTCTTGGGAGTAATACTCTTATATCAGTCATCATTCATCCCAAAACCTCAAAGGTTTTTAAGATTATCTTTTTGAGTTATATTATCTTGAATTTACAAATTGAGAAATGAAAGGGACTTACCAAAAAACACATCATGAATTAAAGTCACAGCCTTAAACAAACTCTGTCCCTTATCTGATGGTCAAATCCATGATAATGGATGCTCATCTTTTAAAATTTGTTTTCAATTTTAAAAAAAAAAAAGTTTAAATTTTTGTTAAAAAAGTATTTTGTGGGGGCACATGGGTGGCTCAGTCGGTTGAGCGTCCGACTTCAGCTCAGGTCATGATATCACAGCTCGTGAGTTCGAGCCCCGCGTCGGCTCTGTGCTGACAGCTCAGAGCCTGGAGCCTGCTTCAGATTCTGTGTCTCCCTCTCTCCCTGCCCCTAACCCACTCACATTCTGTCTCTGTCTCTCTCGAAAATAAACACTAAAAAAAAATTTTTTTTAAGTATTATGTGCTCACAGTAAAAGATTCAGTCAGAAGCACAAAGTGAAAAAAAAAAAAAGCACAAAGTGAAAGTAAAATTCAAGTCTATCCTACAGTTTTTAAATTCAAAAAAATTTTTTGCATATAAACATATGTATACCCTTTAAAAATACAAGTGGTATCAAAGTAATATGCCCTTTTCCAGTGTTATATACCTTAAATTATATCAGAGAATATAGAAATTAGCTACAGATGGGTAAAATACCCAACTGTTGACAAATGGCTACTTCCCAGGATATAGCATGGGAAGAAAGAAGGAACACTTCTACTTATTCTTTACGTATTTCTGAATCCTTTCTACTTTTAATCATGTGCATTGTTACTTTTAAATTATGGAATTAAATGGGATTAAGACAAAAGAATGTACTCTAAAGTTCTTTATCAACACATATGATATGCCTGCATGCCTTTTAAAAGCTATGTGTTCTGTTTTATGCATGTACTATTTTTCTCTGGATAATAAATGCCCAGATTATTTTGAAATTTCATTCTGTTTCAAATGTATCCCTATTTCAAGTGGAAGATGAAACTTGAAAAACAGAAGATGGTGAGTAATATGTCCCATAATGGCAAAGCTCCACAACATAAAGCATCAGTGGAAAGACATAGGCTTTACACCCTGGAATGAGTTAGTTTAAAAAAATAATAGTGACTAGCTAAACACCTGGACAGAAGTAGAAGTGTAATTCTCCTTATATTAAATTACCACCATAGTTCAATATCCAGTACCAATATTCAGTGATACAGATTTATTTTCTCTGTGTGATTTTATGCATTATTCTTTGCTGGATTAGATTATAACTGAATATTTAGAATTTTATTCTAAGATACAGTGTACAGTATTCTAGGATGGAGATATAGAAACAAAACTAGTTTTCCCAAAAAAAGCTCATTTAAAATAATTTAGTAACTATGATAACCATTTTTTAAAAATTTCATCATAAAATTATAGTGTATCTTACACATCTCTGTTCCTTATACACAGACAAATGCAGTGGGTAAGTTCCATTCTTTTACTACAAGAACACACACACACACACACACACCCCTATGGTATCTTGAGAAATTATCCAGTGCCAGGCTATGAGCATAATGCTTTACATAGGCTTTCATTTGATTTTTACAGAAATCTTATGATTTATTTGTACAATTACCATTATTTGCCTTTTGAATGAGGAAACTGTGGAACAAAAGGTTGAGTGATTTTCCCAGGCTCATACAATTAACCCATAGTTCACACTCAATCACTGAGTTACATAGTCCCTAAGAGTCAAAAGATATGAACATTTAAATTTTTGATAGTGCCAAATTACCTTACAAAACTTTGTACCACTCAATCTACACTGCCTCCAAAAGCACATGTGCACATGTCAGCAGCTACTATCCTGCTTTAATACTTTGCCCATCTGTTAGGTGAGATCATCATCGTCTTAAATTTATGAAATCAAGATTTCAAATTTATGAAATATTGAATTATTATGGAACTTCATTTGCAGAAAACTTAACAGAGAAGACAACTTTTACACCAAGGCCTTTACAATTAGAATAAGATTGCTAAAACAACTTATGGAAAAGTTCCTCCTTCTATACCCCAAATATATACACATTATTCTCGAATGCAGATTTATTTGAGTGAAGCAACACGATGCAGCTTCATAACATTTCTATGAAACAATAGGAAGCCTCACCAAGGTGAATGGCTTGGAGTGGTTCAGTGCGTCAGATGTGAATTCTTCTTAATCACAATACGAGAATATTTTGCAAATGCAATTCTAAACTCAGATATGAAATCCCTTTAAAGCTGCTTTGAAGATTTGGTTCTTTTACTTATAAAAGGAGTAATGGATCCACATACCTTTTCCTCCCTTTTGATGGAGAACAGCAGGTTGTACCAGCTGGTTTTCAGGGATGTTTGGCAGAGATTGATGAATATTTCCTTCAAAATAGAGGTCCGCAGCACTGTTCTATATAAATAATGCAGCAGATGTTAAGTGGGACTTTCCATGTGGCCCCCAGTTGATGGCTAAAGTTAAAAGCTGGGGACAAAAAGACTGCTAAGAATCTCCCAAATTCTAACAAGCACTATTCTCAATTGCAGCCAGTTATCTCCCAGGGCAGAACTAGCTTCAAACCCACATAAAGAGAGGACCAAGGGATGTAAAGTAATCTTTGGCTTTGTGGGGACTTTCATATCATCCCCTCCTTATGAGAAAAAAGAGGGTGTTCCTTCCTTCCTTCTCCCTAAAAATGCCCAGTCAGAAAGAAAAATTTAAAAGAATTATTAGTAGAAATTGAAGTGCCCACAAAAAAGGGAAGATGGGCTTTCCATTCCTCTGTTGGATGCTGGGCAAGAGACACAGAGAGAAAGATGTCAGCCAAGGGAGGGCAGAGCCAAGAGAGGGGACAGGTGGAAGCAGCCTGAGGTGTTACCATTACATAAGGCAAGGATATATAGGTCTCCACAGGTTAATTCAAACTCCCTCTTCAAAGAAATGTCATATGGAGAGGCCCTGACAGAACTTACAAGGTAAGAAAAAGGACATCTGCTATACAGCATGGTTGAAGGGAATGACTGGGAAAAAAAAAAAAAAGAAAACCATGTCGTATTTACACCCTACCACATTAAGACTGCTGGCATTAAGAAAACAACACAAAAGAACACATGAATGGAGAAATAGATGATGGGGACACTTCATTTGCAGGGCACACTGCTACAATATCCATGAGTTGATCCATAACATGTAACTAACTCTAAGCTTGGGAAGGAAAATAGAGAAGGTGTCAGGGTGCCTGGGTGGTTCAGTTGATTAAGTGTCCGACTCTTGGTTTCCTCTCAGGTCATGATCTCATGGTTCCTGGGTTTGAGCCCTGCATTGGGCTCCATGCCGGCAGCATGGAGCCTGCTTGGGATTCTCTCTCCCTCTTTCTCTGTCCCTGCCCTGCTTGTGCTCTTTCTCTCCCTCAAAATAAATAAACTTAAAAAAAATAATTTAAAAAATGAAAATTTCTTTAGAAAATAGTGGAGGTCGATAGAAGACTGTAGGTAAAACCAGTGTGGAGTAAGTTTGGGCTTTGCCCTATGGCATATAGGGGAACCATGGCTTTTTGCAATTTCCCAGATGGACTAAAGAGTAGCAGTAATGTGAGAACCCTAAAAATATATCTTTATAGAAGTCATTCACACCCTCTGATGCTGGGTGAAGAGCAATGATGGAGGACAGTTTCCTTCTTGACAGCACTGCTGAGGCTCACCCCATGTTGACTCTCAGGGTCACACCACTGATAGCTGTGAATGTTCTCACAGTCTCTGCTGCCTCTAAGCTGGGTTTCAGCTAGCATACACCAAGTGAAAGGCAGGACTGAATAGGGAATTTGCCTGTTACTGGGGGGTGGTCTCCTGGTACATGTACTCACTATTACTGTTCTCCAATTATAGACAGGTTCCTCTGCAGGCAGCATACCATAGCAGTTGGAATTCCCTCTGATATGAGAGCAGTGGTTGATGAACGCCAGGTAATTTTTGTAATCTAATTTAAAAACAGAGACAGAAACTGAAAAAGTCAAAGTTTATGATTACACACATGTGCATGTATGCATATATGCTTATGTGTGATTGCTCTATCATGTGTTTTCTATCACTTTGCATTTCTTTTTTAAAATTTAATTTATTTATTTTTTTTAAATTTACATCCAAGTTAGCATATAGTGCAACAATGATTTCAGGAGTAGATTCCTTAATGCTCCTTACCATTTAGCCCATCACCCCTCCCACAACCCCTCCAGTAATCCTCTGTTTGTTCTCCATGTTTAAGAGTCTCTTATGTTTTGTCTCCCTCCCTGTTTTTGTATTATTTTTGCTTCCCTTCCCTTATGTTCATCTCACTTTGCATTTCTTTACATTTATTGCATTGTGCTGGTATCAGAGATCTCTTTTTACATGTCCCATTTTCCCTTAGTAGAGTATGTGTTCCTTGCAAGTAGAGATCCATGATCTCTTATCTTGGTACTGCCCGCAACACCCTGTATAAACTTGGCAGGCAAAATACCTGTGTCTCACCTGCACTATCTTTCTATAGTCTAGAGGGCGATGGGTGAGGAAGAATAAAAGAATATTTATTCTTCTGATTATAATATCTCTTGCATGGAAAGTCTATAAGATAAATTAGAATAACTGAAAAGCCCACTCTGAACAGTTAAAATTATCAATCAGATAAATATCAACTAGATATTTTTAATAGCAAATAATTATATGTGCTAGTATTTCTACGTGGAATGTCATTCTTTACATTTTTATATATGACACTTTAAATTTACTTAGGCTAGGTAACCCTGGAAGCTTTCTGCCTTAGAATTAATCCTAGATGCACTAGGTAAAAATGGTCTTCTCTGTTCTGGTAATTATTATTTGTGTCTGACTAACAAGCCATTTGATATCCCAGTGAAAGAAGGGGACTGACATCTTTACCTGGAGAGTACGGAAGATCTCCGGTTGAATGTTGCCTCAGGACCTCAAAAGCATCTTCAAAGGCTTGACCCAGCTTGTCTTGTTCAACACAGGCCTGCTAGAAAAATGGCAGAACTCTCGAGTTTTGAAATTATCAATTGCACTTAATTTTTCTGTTATAAAGTAGAGTTTCTCACCCACAGCACTATTGACATGTTAGGTTGGCTAAGTCTTTGCTGTGGGGGGGGCTGTCCTATGTATTGTAGGATATTGAGCAGCATCCCTGGCTTCTACCCACCAGATGCCAGTTAACATCCTCACAGTTGTGACAATTGAAAATGTCTCAGAAATCACCAAATATACCCTGGGAGACAAAATCAACCCTGGTTGAGATTCACTGCTCTATAACATATAGTATTTAGAGAACAGTACTCATTCTATAGTATAGTATTTAACATTCTTGTAAAATTTTAGTAAGGAGTCGTATAGCAGAAGACTGATTTGGAAAAAGGAATCAGGCATATATCTTTAATGAAAAAATCTGAATTGCTGCTTAAAAATGGAATGTTCTTCGTCAGACTTCGGCTCAGGTCATGATCTCATGGTTCGTGGGTTTGAGCCCCGCATAGGGCTCTGTGTTGACAGGAGCCTGCTTCAGATTCTGTGTCTCCCTCTCTCTATCCCTCCCCTGCTCGTGCTCTCTCTCTCTCTCAAAAAAATGAACATTAAAAATAATAATAAAAAAATGGAATGCTCTTAATTTCAAAAACATGTCTCTAAGACCTAAAATTAAACTGTCTTGCAAACCATTTCACGCCCTTATAATCTGAACCATATATTTTATTTTCCAAATGGAGGATGTTCATCCTCCAAATCACCCAAAGATTTTAAAATGCCAACTTACCATGCTTCATTAATGAGTTTACGATTCTGAAAAAGATTAATAAGTAAAAAGCAAAATTAATAGTGTCTCTATTTCATTTGCCTCTGAATTAAAGGATCTTACTCAAAATATTTCCTGAAAATACCTAATGTAAACCAAAAGCACCATCTAAATTCTTTTTAATTTAATTCTGAACAAAATTTCTTACAAACTTTTTTTTGCTCTTCTATCATTACAAAACGTTTTAAATGTGAAAATAGCTAAATAGAGTTAATTACCTAAATTGCTTAACTTACAAGACAATAGGAAAAAACTCAATATTTAACTATTTCAATATTTTAACATTCTTTTAAGAGTTAAAGTATATAAATTATCTTAGCATAGGTGTCCATTTATAACAGTGTTGTTGTTTTTAGATCTTTCTGGTGTCAGCCTAATGAGAATCTGGTGAATGATAGGCTTTTTAGCTCACAAACTGTGGACCTACATTAAAAATAAAATTTACCCTGGGGTGCCTGGGTGGCCCAGTTGGTTAAGTGTCCGACTCAGATCAAGATCATGGCTCAGATCCTGATCTCAGAGTCGGTGAGTTCGGGTTCTGTGCTAGAGCCTGCTTGAGGTTGTGTCTCTTCTCTCTCTGACCCTCCCCCACTTATGCTCTGTGTGTGTCTCTCTCAAAAATAAATAAACGTTAAAAAATGGAAAAAAGCAAATAAAATTTACCCTATGAAACCCATCCAACGACTTTCTAAAATGGTAGAATAGGAACCGTGCATGGCCTACTTTCTTATCCCTGTAAGTTAGATTTTGTTTTAAATAAACAATGATCACACAGACCCACATTAAATGTTCTTTTTAAGTTTAAATTCTATAGAACTAAACACAAACAAATCTACATAACAAGAAAGAGTATGTGGTGGGTCCAACATTGCTTATCATTTCATTTAGCACAAGCAACTGTTTATACAAGTTGTTAATATTTACCCTGCAAACATAGTGAACTTACTCATTAACACTGAAGAATACAGAGATAATATAATCTAACACTATTATTATATACATGTATCAATAATTACATCAATATAATATGTCAAACATTGGAATTCTATTCAGCTCTTTGAAATCACTATATCATGTCAGTTAAAAGAAAACATGAGAGGAAAAGTGATAAAAAAGGTAATTATACGAGGTGATGGAAATGTTAACTAATCTTATCATGGTAATCATTTCATAATATACATGTATGTCAAATAATCACATTTTACACCTTAAATTTATAAAATCTTATATGTCAATTATATCTCAATAAAGCTGGAAAAAAAGACAGCTTCCCAATGTGGGAAATGCTGAACAATTTAACAAAAACTAAAAAAAAAAAAAAAAAAAAAAAAAAAAAAAAAAAAAAAAAAAAAAAAAAAAAAAAAAAAAAAAAAAAAAAAAAAAAAAATCCATAAATCACTGGGTTATGGTTCCTAATAAATATTATCAATATATGTATTTTTAAAGACCAGTAAATGACTTTCAATTAATTATGCCTCAACTCATAAGCACCAAAGCAAATACATGAGTGTTGTATGACTTTGACAAAAATACTCCACAAAATTATCACAACGATTACAACTAAAGTTAAAGTAGCAAACCAAAAGGGAAGAAAAAAGCTTGAAAACGTTATCGATCAATGCAATTGCTTGGTATTTCTTATATCAGAACAGTCAATGAGAAACATTAGGTCAAAGGAGAAATTTAAGTTTTCACAAGGTATTTTGAAAAACAGAAGCTAAATACTTACCAGGAAGACACTTCAACCCTCTGCAAAGATGTTTCATTAATATCGGAATCCTAAGACAGGACTGTCAAGAACTCACTGGCAGAGTTGCATTAAATAGCTGTTTTTAAGGAAGTGCTACAAAAGGGGATTTTTTTAAAAGATACAGTGTCCTCATGATTTCTATTTCATTATAGGCCAGAGGCTATTATTTTGAAGAGACACATAAAAGTTCATATCCCATGGGCTGAAAGCATTCGAACAAACCCCGTGAATCTTCCGCCAGCATAAATTGAGTCTCCTCTGGCCCCCTGTAGCCCCACTGGAAATCTCTGACCTGCACAACTCTCGTCCATCCTTTTTTTATTCCTTTTGTGTCCCCCCTGATTCTAGACCCTGTATTGCCTGTCTTGCCTGGACTATAAACAACGTTCACTCTGGCCTTCCCAAAGTGGTCTCTTTCCTCTCAAACCACTTGACTCATACTGATTGCCTTACTTAGAGATCTTAAAGGCACAGTCTCTTGCCCTGGCATTCAAGGCCCCTCATTCTAACCTTAGCTTTATTTATCACCATTCATTTAGGAGAAGGAAATGAAATTCAGGTTGTAGCCTTCTCTCCATACCTAAATCCAGTAGGGCCTCCAAAAAGGTCAGGAACAGCTCCTGGGTGGTGATCCGGTGATCCAGGATACACTTGAAGCTCCTGATCTGCACAGAGGTCCAGTTCTCTCATTTAGCCAGAAGTTCTATTGGAGATGGGTTTTGGTGGCTTTGGTGGAAATCATGGGGTGCTCCTCCACCTATAATGCTTGCTTCCCAGTCCATTCATGTGCCCAGTTACCCATTCCATTTTACCTATCAGAGTCTGATCTAGCATCCACGTGTACCAGGCAGAAATAACTTTCCCCTCTGAAGCACGTGTCTGCATCACCCTTCCCTAACTGTAACCTTCTGCCATTATAACAGATATCACATTTCGCCAGGGGGAAAACCACCTAAGAATTTTTGGTAAACCTTTTGGGTGGAGAGATTTTCTGTTTTGCATGGTTGGAATCTGAACTCACCTTTGATATGGGACCATTGTTCTAGACCATCTACTTTTTTTACTCAATTTGTTATGCAAATGTAAACACACATCTCCTCTTCAGAAATGTAGATGTTATAATAACAAGTGTATAAAACTGTAATCACTAATGTTGATGAGGTTTTAATCTGTACCATTTCCATGTGTACGCCCTTTTGCGCCATTTTGTTCCATTTGATTTATTTGTTTAACAAGTATATATTTCTGAGCTTTTTTCTCTGCTGGACACTGTCCTGTGTCCATGGAATATAGCCCTGAGCAAGTTATAATGAGAAATGATTTTAAAAAAAAGCAAACCAGACATGTATTAGATAATAAATACTAAGAAAACGATAAGAGAAAGGGTATAGAAAGAGTATGTAGTTGTGATGAATGATCATGAAAATCCTCTGGGGAGGGAATGTGTGAGAGCTGAAATCCAACAAGAAGAAAGAGTGAGCAAAAGAAATGCAGGGATATAAAGTACTGCCTGACGGAATAAAGTGCAAAGAACCTTAGAAATGAAAGCCATGGGGGCTCAAGCAGAATGAGACTGGGGGCTGAGAGGCAAAGTTAGAAGGTAGGAGGGAGGGTTCAGATGAACCCAAATGTAGAGCTAGAAGAACACACACACATATATATGTATATATATATATACACACACACACATATATACATATATATATGTATATATATTTCAAAAGAATCTAAAAATCATACATGATAGTAGTTGCCTGCTTAGCCCCATTTTACAGATGAGGAATCTAAACCGAGGCTCAAAGACATTTTGTGATTTTTCCTAAGGTCCAATTGCTAGTGAGAGATGGGCTGGGCTGGGTCTAGATTTGGGCCCAGATGACATCATGAACATGCTCTCAGCTGCCATGCTGGAGGCTTGTGTCTGCACTTAGGTTCCATTTGACCAAGGTTCTCAGTCACCATGGCAGTTTCCATAGCACCCAGCAGATACTTCTAGCTTGGTATGTAGTTGAAATGGAAGGAAAAATAAATGAACTTTCTAAGCAGGTATTTTCCCACTGGTGTCTCCAGAGTTTTATTCTGCAAGATATTAATAAATGAACCCAGAAAAAGTATTGAGTAGAAGCAAGTTTTGCTGTTTAGCACTTCTTCAGCCAGGCTCAGTCCATAGAGCATGCAACTCTTGATCTCGGGGTTGTGAGTTCGAGCCCCATGTAGGCTCCAAGTAGAGCCAACAGACCCAAGTTTAGGAGTTCCTGCTATAATGTATTTTTAAAGCCTTATTTAAGGTCCAAGTATTGCTTCTTGAGACATTTATACCTAATACAAACGCACATACACAGAACATCTTTTTCAAGGTGGACATTAACGTTTCCTTCAACCCCAGAAGTGAACTGACTAACAAGGGCTCTAAAGAAAAGATTCCTGATCGATGAAGTCTTTTGCAGAAGTTCATTGTGCTCAGTGGTAACTGAGATTATTTTAGAGAATCTTAAATTTTTTTTTTTTCAACGTTTTTATTTATTTTTGGGACAGAGAGAGACAGAGCATGAACGGGGGAGGGGCAGAGAGAGAGGGAGACACAGAATCGGAAACAGGCTCCAGGCTCTGAGCCATCAGCCCAGAGCCCGATGCGGGGCTCGAACTCACGGACCGCGAGATCGTGACCTGGCTGAAGTCGGACGCTTAACCGACTGCGCCACCCAGGCGCCCCTATTTTAGAGAATCTTAAGCAACAGATGTTCTGGAGTCTAAATCATATGGTGCCAAGCTTCTGATGGAAGATTGCATTTTCTGAGAATAGAGAGCTTCAGAACACAGGAAAAAGGAGACTAAATTCAAGCTCTTATCATTATTTCTAATTAAATAACTCCATTGTTCACTTCCTCAAAAAATTAAACATAGAACTACCATATGATCCAGTAATGCCACTGCTAGGTATTTAACCAAAGAATACAAAAACATTAATTGAAAAATATATATGCACCCCTAGGTTTATTGTGGCATTATTTACAATAACCAAATTGTGGAAGAAGCCCAAATGTCAATCGATAGGCGAATGGATATAGAAGATGTGGTGTATATATACAATGGAATTTTACTCAGCCATAAAAAGAATGAGTTCTTGCCATTTACAACAACATGAATGGATCTAAAAGGTATAATACTAAGTGAAATAAGTCAGAGAAAGACAAATACCATATGACTTTACTCAGATGTGGAATTTAAGAAATAAAACAAATGAACAACGAAGAAAAAAGACAAACCAAGTAACAGACTCTTGACCATAGGGAAAAAATTGATAGTTACCAGAGGGGAGTGGGGTGGAGGAATGGGAGAAATAGGTGGTGGGGATTAAGGAGTACATTTGTTGTGATGAGCCCCTGGAAATGTTGAATCACTCTATTGTACACCTGAAACTAATATAAAACTGTATGTTAACTCCTCTGGAATTTAAAGAAATAATAATAAAAACTAAAAATAACTCCATTGTTTAGAGGATTAAAGAACTGAGTCCTGAACTTAGATCTCTGAAAACCTAACAAGCAAATAATATTGCTAGACTGGGAAGAAGATGCTAGAAAATTTCTTATGTCAGAGTAGGAGAATTCACAGAACCACAGATCATGAGACAAATAGCTAGCCTTCACTCTTACTTTAATAATTACTTGCACAGATTATTCTTCGAAATTTATTGACACTTGCTTTGTGACCCAACATAGGGCCTTATATTGATGAATACTCCATTTGTACTTGGAAGAATGTATATTTTGCAATTATTGTATATAGTGCCTCATAAATAAAATAGAACCAGTTTAGATCTGGTTCATTGATAATATTGTTCAAATTTTCCATATCTCTACTGCCTTTTTCTTTGGCCTGCATATTTTATCAGTTACAAGGATTACAGAAGATTAGAGTATACAAAGAGTAACTTCCAACTATAATCGCGGATTTGTCTATTTCTGCCTTTAGTTCTGTCCATTTTTGCTTCATGTTTTTTGAAGCTCTATTATTAGATGCATACTCATTTGGAATTGTTATGTGTTCTTGATAAATTGAGTCTTTTATCATGATAAAATTTCTGTATTTCATTTTGGTAATCCTTTTTTGGTAATCCTTGAAATCTACTTTGATATTATCCACACTAGCTCTCTTATTTATTTATTTATTTATTTATTAAAAATTTTTTTTTAATGTCTATTTATTTTTGAGAGAGAGAGAGACTGAGCATGAGCAGGGGAGGAGCAGAGAAAGGGAGACACAAAATCTTAAGCAGGCTCCAGGCTTTGAGCTATCAGCAGAGCCCAACGCTGGGCTCAAACTCACGAACTGAGAGAACATGACCTGAGCCCGAAGTCAGTCCCTTAACTGACTGAGCCACCCAGGCGCCCCACACTAGCTCTTTTATCTTTTTTACTTTTGAAATGTCCAATCTGTCTTTATGTCTTTTTAAGCAGCATGTAATTGGGTATTGCTTTTTTTTTTTTTGTACAGTTTGACGATCTCTGTCTTTTTAGGGTTTATCCAATTGAGTAATTACAAATAGTTAAGCTCAAATCTGCCGTCTTCCTATTTGTTTTCTACTTTTCCTATATGTTTGTTCCTCTGTTCTTTTCTTTCCTGCTTTCTTTTGTATCAAACACGCATTTTTATTATTTCATTTTATTTCCACCATTAGCTTTTTATATTTTTATTTTATGTTATGTTTATATATGTTATGATATGATATACTTCTATAATTTATTTTTTGTGATTGTTCCAAGGATTACAATATACATTCTTGATTTTTCAGTCTGTCATGAGTTACTATTATACCACTTCATGTATCATGTAAGAACCTTATCACAGTACCCAGTGGACCCTTGAACAACACAGGTTTGGCCTGTGTAGGTCCACCTATATGCAGATTTTCTTTGATAAATACAGTACTATGTTATAAATGTATTTTCTCTTCCTTATCCTTATGATTTTCTTAATAACATTTTTCTTTTCTCCAGCTTTCTTTATTGTAAGAAATACAGGATATAATATAAAATATGTGTTAATCGACCTTTTATGTTATCGGTAAGGCTTACTGTCAACAGTAGGCTATTAGTAGTTAAGTTTTGGGGGAGTCAAAAGTTATGCGTAGATTGATTTTCGACTATACGGGGGTGTTGATACCCCAATCCCTGTGTTGTTCAAGCGTTAACTGTAATTTAATTTACATCCCCTTCCATCTTTTGTGCTAAACTTATATATTTACTTCTATGTATGTATAATATATTATTTAACCTCACAATAATGCTGTGAAATGGCGTTACTATCCACGAGTTTTGATTCTGGCTCCATATTTCCCATCTGTGTAAACTTGGACAACTTACCTTCTCAGTTTCCTCTCTGTAAAATGTGGATAATGATTTTACTCATCACGCAGAGTTATGAAAATCTGAGTGAATCCATGTAATATACTTTTGACAGCCCTGACATTTAATAAATGCTCAACAAATGTTAGGTGCTGCTTTGTAATTATCCCCTGTTCTTTTTGAAGAAACAGAGGCTCAGGGAAGTTAAGGGCTTTACCCAAGCTCACATGGCTAGTAAGCTGTAGAGGTGAAGATTTTCAAACCAGTTCTACCCAACTCCAACCAAAGGCTTTTAACCATTTGACCAGACGTTGCTTCCTTATCTACTACGGAGTGAGACTG